TAAAGAGTTCAGTTAGCTCAGCAGCTGCCTGGTTCTGATGAATTACTGATGAATTTCTGTTGCGAATCTGCAGACACGTGGTTAGCAGCAACAAAAACCAGAAGAACCCCAAAAAAAGCAGCTAGGATGCTTCTTAACCAGGAAAGGTCTTTGCTCCTCCATGGAGAGAAGGTCCAGGATCCAGACTGCTGGGCTGAGAGCAGAGAAGCTAAGAGAAGATTTTTCCTGATTTGGTTTCATCTTGGTTTGTTTTTTATCTTTAATTCACTCTGACTGGTCCTCACGAAACTTTAAAAGTTCCCTTTAACACAAAACGGTGTGGGTTTTACTTTCTATACACTGGAAAAAAATTAAAATCTAGATAAGTCATTTTTTCTTAAAATAAGTGCATTTGCTCTTAAGTCGAGAAGGTGAAAGGGAGATTTTGCCAATGGAACAAGACGATTTACATTTAAAATAAGAAAGCACGATTACATTGTCTTATTTCAAGTGCATTTTATCAAAATATCTTATTTTAAGAGTAAAAATACTCATTCCATTGGCAAACTATCTAATTTACCTACTCAAATTAAGGGGAAATACACTTAATTTAAGAAATTTTTTACTTATTTCTAGATCGTTTTTCCAGTGTTCTGAATTTAGGGCAGAGTGAGGCCTCCTGTCTGCTGTAGGATGGGGCAGTGAATGCATCGTGGTGTGTTTACTGAACTCCCTTCATGTGCCAGAGATGAAGACCGTGAGTCTCTGTGCATCCCATCAAACCGACGACAGGACTACATGCCAGTCACCATGGCAACAACAGTACCCCCTAATCAAGGTGAGGAGCTGTCAGGACTGTATGTCCATTAGTCAAACACTGCAGAGTTTTCCTGTTGGGGAAAAAACAGAACTAGACTTTCTAGAACCAAAAAGCAAGAGTAGTTCTGGTTTTAGGTTCTGGTCCCTTCAGCCTGCAGAGTTTCTGGATTTGGATCAGGAGCTGAATGCGAAGAACATCAGATATTGGCTTCAAATCAGAGAAGATGTTCCTGCCTCAGCTGTAGCTTTATGCTGTAAAAACAGCTTACGACGTATTAAAACCAACATGATCAATTAGACATGTCCGGATTTCAGTTAAAATACATAATTTTACACCCATCCATCCATTTTCCATCACGCTCATCCCAAGCGAGGTTGCGAGGAGGGCTGGTGTCTATCTCCAGCTGTCTACAGGCGAGAGGCGGGGTCCACCCTGGGCATCCATCGCAGGGCAACACACATACAAACGACCATTCACACACACACTCACACCTAAGGAGAATTTAGAGAAGCCATTATCTAACAGTCAGGTTTTTGGACTGTGGGACGAAGCCGGAGTACCCAGAGAGAACCCACACATGCACAGGGAGAACATGCAAACTCCATGCAGAAAGACTCTGGGCCGGGAATCGAACCCCAAACCCTGCTCTAAGGCAGCTGTGCTACCCGCTGTGTCACTGAGTAGCCCTCATTTTACACCATTTATTCTCAATAAACGCATAGAAAATATTAACCTGACATGAAAATTACAACCTTCTAAATCATTGAAATGAACTTTTATTGAGTCTAGTTAAGTGAGTAAAATGTTTTCATTATTAATAATGAAACATTTTAAATTCTTTGGAATGACAGTGTTAATTAACCTTTTCCCTCATTGTAAATGGTCTCAAAATGAGATATAAATCATGTATAAAGTTTAAAGTGGGAAAGAATAATTCCCCTTATAAGCTCTGAAGTTTGCAACGCCTAAAGTCACAAATATTTTCCTTATTGAGGCTTTATACTCCAAATATGATCAAGTAATGATGTAATAATCCAAGAAGTGTCTGAACTGATTCTAAAACTTTTTCACTGTTCTTCTCAGTTGTATTCCACTGTCTTATTTCACTTAATATTGCAATAAATATGTTTATATTTGTTGTTTAATGTGAAAACATATGGAAAGGGGTGTGAATACTTTGGCAAGCCACTGTAAGTTTTTTGAAAAAGGTTTTTAAGTTATTTTGAATCAATTAAATTTCCGAATTGCTGCGGCATCTGCTGTGAAGTGGGAGCTGTACCGGTCTGTTGTTGTGAAGAGAGAGCTGAGCCAAAAGGCGAAGCTCTTGATTTACCGGTCAATTTATGTTCCTACCCTCACTATGTTCATGAGCTTTGGATCATGATCGAAACGAGATCCTGGATACAAGCGACTGAAATGAGTTTTTTTTCCATAGTGTGTCTGGGCTCTCTCTTAGAGATAGGGTGGTGAGCTCAGTCATCTGGGGCGGACTCAGAGTAGAGCCGCTGCTCCTCGACATCGAGAGGAGCCACCTGGTTAGGATGCTTCCTGGACGCCTTCCTGGTTCCAGGCATGTCCCACTGAGAGGAGACCTAGAGGGAGACCCAGGACACGCTGGAGGGACTATGGCTTTGGGGCTCCCCTGGATGAGCTGGCCCTCCGGGGGAAGGGTACTGGGAGATGGACGTCTGGGGCTCCCTACTGAAGCTGCTACACCCATGACCGGACTGGATGGATGGATGGATGGATGGTTTGTTGGTTGGATGGATGGATGGTTGGTTAAATGGATGGATGGATGGTTTGTTGGTTGGTTGGATGGATGGTTTGTTGGTTGGATGGATGGTTTGTTGGTTGGTTGGTTGGATGGATGGTTTGTTGGTTGGTTGGATGGATGGTTTGTTGGTTGGATGGATGGATGGTTTGTTGGTTGGTTGGATGGTTTGTTGGCTGGATGGATGGTTTGTTGGTTGGATGGATGGATGGTTTGTTGGTTGGATGGTTTGTTGGTTGGTTGGATGGTTTGTTGGCTGGATGGATGGTTTGTTGGTTGGATGGATGGATGGTTTGTTGGTTGGATGGATGGTTTGTTGGTTGGATGGATGGTTTGTTGGTTGGATGGATGGTTTGTTGGTTGGTTGGATGGATGGTTTGTTGGCTGGATGGATGGTTTGTTGGTTGGATGGATGGTTTGTTGGTTGGTTGGATGGTTTGTTGGCTGGATGGATGGTTTGTTGGTTGGTTGGATGGATGGATGGTTTGTTGGTTGGATGGATGGTTTGTTGGTTGGTTGGATGGATGGTTTGTTGGTTGGATGGATGGTTTGTTGGTTGGATGGATGGTTTGTTGGTTGGTTGGATGGTTTGTTGGTTGGATGGATGGTTTGTTGGTTGGATGGATGGTTTGTTGGTTGGTTGGATGGTTTGTTGGTTGGATGGATGGTTTGTTGGTTGGATGGATGGTTTGTTGGTTGGATGGATGGTTTGTTGGTTGGATGGATGGATGGATGGTTTGTTGGTTGGATGGATGGTTTGTTGGTTGGATGGATGGCTGGATGGTTTGTTGGTTGGTTGGATGGATGGATAGTTAAGTAAAAAAAGTCAAAAACATTTTACTTTTGGACTGAAGTATACATTTTATTTTTGCTCCTACTTATGGAGTGCAGTACTTTTATTAGGTTCATTTTAAAAGTTTTCACTTAAAGGAGAAGTTCACTTTTTAACACTTTAAGCCCATTTTCTGTAGTGTCCAGGATGAAATTGAATGATCGACACCAACATTTTGACAATTGGTCCCTTCTCTGCTTTTTGGCTCATGCAGAATCCCCCCCTGGCTGCTTCAGAATGGCTTCCATTGTGCATGTCCGATAATGTCCTTAAAACAACCTTAAACGTTCTTTTTTTAAAATATGCTACTCACCGGGTCGTCAGCGCTGTTCAATGACGTTCCAAAAAAAGTTTCGTAAAGAAAATACGTTCCTGTAGTGTTTTATTTAGCATTTTGTAAATCCCATTGAGTTCTGTAGGAATAGTCAATATTCCCCTGCCCCCGGAAACGGAAATGGGGCCTGTTTACACAGTTGTAGTCTTTTCGCTTCACTCTGTGTACTCCGACGTCGAGGTGCTAACGTCTCTGTTAAACACTTTAAAAAACTCTGAAAATGGAATACGAAAGGTGGATTCTTGATTCTCGACGTCGGAGTACACAGAGTGAAGCGAAAAGACTACAACTGTGTAAACAGGCCCCATTTCCGTTTCCGGTGGCAGCGGAATATTGACTATTCCTACAGAACTCAATGGGATTTACAAAATGCTAAATAAAACACTACAGGAACGTTTTTTCTTTACGAAACTTTTTTTAGAACGTCATTGAACAGCGCTGACGACCCGGTGAGTAGCATATTTTAAAAAAAGAACGTTTAAGGTTGTTTTTAAGGACATTATCGGACATGCACTATGGAAGCCATTCTAAAGCAGCCAGGGGTGGATTCTAAATGAGCCAAAAAGCAGAGACAGGACCAATTGTCAAAATTTTGGTGTCGATCATTCGATTTCATCCTGGACACTACAGAAAATGGGCTTAAAGTGTTAAAAAGTGAACTTCTCCTTTAAAGGACTTGATTTCTTCCGACACTCAGTTATGACCCTTCAGTCAGATAGTTCTGAAACATCAGGATTTTCTCTCACCTCTTATCAAATGAGGTATTTATGATTTATTGAGAAAATATGATTTTTTCAAAGCTGAAAATAAAGTTGAAGCTGGCAGGCGCAGAAAATCCTCCTCCAGTTAACTGGAAACACATCTTTCCCTTCTGGTTCTGCACGTCAGACTGGTTTATTCTGCATCGGTGTTTGGTGAACTTGGCGGAGATTTACAGAGAACAGCTCTTCTGCTTACCAGAACCAGAACCGGAGCAGTCGAACTCTTCATTTGTCATCTGGTTTTTTTTTTTAAACAGTTGTCGTGAGGAGACCCACGCGCAAAGGCATCAACTCCACACGCCCTCAGCGCTGACGGGAGCGCGCAGCTCCAGGAGGCAATTATTAAACGCACTAATCCCCGCAGCGCGTCGGAGTGAGAAGGCGGAAGGTTGCTCCCGTTGCGTGACGCGGTTTTGCGTGGCGAACTCTCCGTTGATCCAAGGGGATCCTCTGGCGACACGCCCCCAGGAGGCAGAAGGAGGGAGAAGAGGAGGAGCAGCGCGAGTTTCCGCTTCTCCTCCCATTAGCAGCACCTGTGTGACCGCAGCTGCTGCTGCTTCTCCTCCAGCCGAACCTCCTGATGGGCTGCATACTTTCGGTTCTGTTCGGTTCGGATTTTCTCCTCTCTGCGGGTCCATAAGCGGCTGCCGTTCATGCACATCTCGCTGCAGAGAGACGCTGCGGAACTGGATCGGGAGGCTCCAGTGTGCGGAGCAGGTACGGACATGCTCACCTCGGACCCGTGGTTCTGGTTCGGGTCCTGGTTCTGGTTTGGAGAACCGGATTCTTATAAGAGCTAAAACTAAAAAAAAAAGAGCTGCAGGAAAATCTTTAGATCCGAGCGGAGAAGAGTGGGTTGGACCTGCGGAGGTGAGTCTGCTGCTTTCTGCCTCCAAACTAACAGAAAGTGACTCCATCACAGGAGGTTTTGTTTGGTTCCTCTCCTGCCCCTCAGCATCTCTCACCTCTCCAAAGATTGTTTGCGTAAAACTCCGCTCCTTGGAGGACCTGGAGGCTCCATTTGCTCGCCGTCGGATGTCCGCTTGTTGCCCCGCAGCCCCCTGAACCTCCAGCCGAACCTTCCGCAGAGCTCCGGGCCAGCATGGCTGCAGGAGTCGCCGCATGGATGCCGGTCGCCCGCGCCGCGGCCATCGGCTGGATGCCGGTGGCCAGCGCGCCCATGCCGGTGCCCCCGCAGGAGAAGCGGCGCGGCAGGGACGGACTGATCGTGCTGAACGTGAGCGGAACCAGGTTCCAGACCTGGCGGGACACCCTGGAGCGGTACCCGGACACCCTGCTCGGCAGCTCGGAGCGGGACTTCTTCTTCCACGAGGAGAGCAACGAGTACTTCTTCGACCGCGACCAGGACATCTTCAGGCACATCCTGAACTTTTACCGAACCGGGAAGCTGCACTACCCGCGCCAGGAGTGCATCTCCGCCTACGAAGAGGAGCTGGCCTTCTTTGGCATCATCCCGGAGATCATCGGGGACTGCTGCTATGAGGAGTACAAGGACCGGCGGCGGGAGAACCAAGAGCGCATCCAGGACGACGAGGAGAACGATCAGACCAACGACCTGATGCCCGCGGACGCCAGCTTCCGTGAGACCATGTGGCGCGCCTTCGAGAACCCGCACACCTCCACCATGGCGCTGGTCTTCTACTATGTGACGGGCTTCTTCATCGCCGTGTCGGTCATGGCCAACGTGGTGGAGACGGTGCCGTGCGGCGCCGCGCCGAACCGCGTCAAGGTGATGTCCTGCGGGGAGCGCTACGCGCTGGCCTTCTTCTGCCTGGACACAGCGTGCGTCATGATCTTCACGGTGGAGTACCTGCTGCGCCTGCTGGCCGCGCCAAGCCGCTACAAGTTCGTCAAGAGCGTGATGAGCGTCATCGATGTGGTGGCCATCATGCCCTACTACATCGGCCTGGTCATGACGGACAATGAGGACGTTAGTGGCGCCTTCGTCACCCTGCGGGTCTTCAGGGTGTTCCGAATCTTCAAGTTCTCGCGGCATTCTGCGGGACTTCGCATCTTGGGCTACACGCTGAAGAGCTGCGCGTCAGAGCTGGGCTTCCTGCTCTTCTCTCTCACCATGGCCATCATCATCTTTGCCACAGTCATGTTCTATGCTGAGAAGGGCTCAGGCAGCAAGTTCACCAGCATCCCAGCAGCCTTCTGGTACACCATCGTTACCATGACAACGCTTGGGTAAGTGTTGTCAAGTTTTCTGTTTGTGGTCCCAAAAATGGGCGGAGTCTGTGGTTCTGACTGAGGTGAGAAGGGTGAGATTTGTGTGAAGTCCAGCTTCAAGGGTTCCTCTGATCTGAGTTTGTACTGAGGCTCTGAGGAGCACCGAGGTGAAGTTCTCTTCTCTGAGGGTAGAAGATGTTACATCAGAGGTCCAGGAACCCTTTGGAGGATGTTCATTTACTTTTTGTTTTGTTTTTTTAGTCGACCAACAGGGAATGACATCTAAAATCGTGGAAGGTGTTACCATCCTCTAACATGTTGGTTAATCTTTTCCAAATTCCCATTTCTTCCAATCATCTTAAACATTCTTTTGCTTCCATGTTTTTTCTCTGTGTTTTCTAAATTTAATTCCATTTTCTTTCGGCTGATTTCTTAATATTTTCTCTCAGACATCGATTCCTTCTCCAGATTAAAGCTGAGGTTGTTTTCTTGTATTTCTAATCCTGAGTAGTAACACATAGCCCTCACTTTCGCTGTCCATGATGCTGAAGCCCTGTTGGGGCATTGGAAGAGTCCCACAGGGGTCCAATTTGTTACAGATCACTGGATCTAAACAATCCAAGCTGGTTCCTGTGTGACCCATCTGGTTCTATCAGACCTGAAGCAGCAGAAAGACCAAATCGGACACTCCTAATGTCTGAACATTTAATCCAGTTTATCCGTCTCCTGCCAAATGACAGAAGACAGTGTTTCTGCTGCTGATAAACTAACAGTAATTGTCATTCCGACTGAAACAGTCCAGGACTACCTGTCCACTTGGACTGGAAAAAGGTCCAACATGGAGCCTCAGTCTGTTCTAGGAACAGAACCAGGCCTGCCTACAGAACTTCTGTGTTTAAGTTGGGCTTTCTGTGGCGGGTGGAGCAGCTCTGGAAATACATCCTTCTGCGGTGTCGATTGTCCCTCTGCTGCTGTTCTGTGTGTCGCAGCCTCCTCTCTGCTGAACAGGCCGCCGTTAAAGCTGCTAATTAAATTAATGCATTAGCTGCTGGGAACGCGCACCCTGTGATTATTTCTAATGGTTTCTGTAATGAAGCCACCCCCAGGAGCAGCCGAGCGGGGAGGAGGAGAACCCACTCCCAAATTCTGCTGCTGATTCACTTATAACGACTGTTTTAATGACGCTCAGAGGCAGCAGGTGGTTTTATCTGCAGGTAGGAGGAGGAAGAAGAAAAGGAGGAGGTTTTGCCAAGGAAAAAAACTCTGGCGGTTCTGTGGTTTGGATCAGACATTTCTGACCACATAAAGATAAAAACTTTGGTCTTTAAACATTATTCTGCCTATTCATCGCATGATGAAGATAAATACCCAGAACAGAATGACTGCTTAAAACCATGACTGTTTGTGAACGATCAGAACAGAAACTCATCAGCTGTTTTAATCTCTTTGAAACTAATGATGAGACCCAGGAAGAGGCTGGATCTATTGCAGTCAACCAGAACATCTCAGCAGGCTTACAGGGAACAGGAGAACTGGTGACCCAGATGTTAAAGTGGGGAGTTGAAGCTTCATGTCAGGCATTTAATTTTACTCCACATTAAATTTTTATCATAGATCAACTTCATCATAAGCTCTAAAACCAGCAAATTGATAGACGCTCTGCAGAGGTGTAACTAAAAAAAAGAATAAATATAAGTCCTATAACACTTTAAATGTTCCATTGCATCACATTCCTCTGGATCCTAAGCCTCCAACCCTGGTCCTCAAGATCTACTGTCCTGCAGGTTTTAGATGCATCCCTGCTCCAACACAGCTAATAGTAATGTGTGAATTTCCTTAGCATTTTGGAAAAATGCCTGGTAACGAGCCTCATTCGATTCATATGTTGGAGCAGGATCCACCTAAAACCTGCAGGGCAGGAGGTCTTCAGGACCAGGGATGGGAATAGGGGGTGAATATTGGCTTGGGTGTTGCAATACGATAGGTATCATGATACGATATTATCACGATATTGTGATATGGTTGTATATTGTGATTCCCCCCCCCCCCCCCCCCCCAGATATAAAAATTAAACGTATAGATAAAAAAAATCAAGTGCTGTATGTTTTCAAGAGAAGGTATTGATCATTTAGTTATTTTGGTATCTATGTTATTTGGGTCAGTACACGTCTTCCGCTGCGACTGCCTCAACTACAGATATGTCCCTCATTGTTTTAGTTCAATTGTTTTGTTTTGTTTTTTTTAAATCAATATTAGGAAATACAAAATCAATATTAATTCGGGCACCCAAAAATCATAATATATAGCAAAATTGATTTTTTTTCCCACACTCCAGGTCGGGAACGCTGCTCTAGATGATCAACAGGATGATCAGTACCACAGATCAGTACATAAATGTGAGGAGATATGAGGCATTCACATTAAGGGATCCTAACTGGGTCCTGATTCTAAACTGGTTCCAGAGTCTGAGTTAGTACTGGACTCTGATGTCCTGACGCTGAACTGGTGAGGAGAGTCCAGGTTCTGGTTCTATCTGGACTTTGGCTGTTTTTTTCTGCTTTTTCTAAGTTCAGTCTTTGTAATAACACCTATGAGGGGGTTTGATTAGTTTCCTTTTTTATCTAAGTTCCTGAACCGACCTTCATTCTGAAGTCAGTGAAATGGTCTGGATCAGCACCTTTTCAGGCTTTCTGTTTCAGTCTGGTTCTGATCAGTTCAGCTGAATCTTTTCCTTTGTTGCCTCTGGGCTTCTTTATATCATCTAGGGCTGCAACTAACGATTATTTTAAAAATCGATGAATCGGCCGATTATTTTTTCGATTAATCGATGAATCGGACAAAAACATTTTTTTATATTAACCTCTTTATTCCAAAATAAACATTTTAGACAGAACAAACAAGCACACAAGTACAGGTTGCTCATTAACTGTACTGGTGCAATATGAAAAATAAATGTTTGTGTTAAAACTACGCAAACTTACATGAGAAATGTAGCTGTACATCCACAAAATATAGGGTACTTTGTTTCATAAATTTTTGTTTTTAAAAGCCCCTAAGGGGTTCAAACAATAGGCCCCCCCATTTCAACAAATGAGTTTTTTTTAGACTAGAAGAGTTCTGCCTTTTAAGACAGGAAAGTATAGCAGTTAAAGTTGCTACTTGAGAAAATACTAAACCATAGAGATAAAAATAGCCCTGTGATTCAAATTATAAATTGTATTTGGAATAAAAATGAGAGAACTAGGGGTGCTAAAAAACACATCCTCCAAAGACAGATATTTACATGGGAATGTGGCATATAATTAATTGACATATTACTGATCTTGCTGGATTTTATTCTGCTTTACTTCCATAAATTGCAGGATCTTCTTTACTTTATCTTTGCCAGAAGATTTAAACTTTAAAAGTCTTGCCCTCATAATTTGCAAGTTAATATATTTATAAAGAAAATATAAACGCTGCTTAAGCTAATTCAAATGAAATTAAAAGTGAAATAAGTAGCCAACCTTATCACTGTCTGTAACCTACTAACACGGTAAGGAAAGCATCAGATGAGCTACCTGAGAAACTAACGTTACGTTTCCCCACTTTAAAACCAAACAAACATGGTGGTTCACCCTGCTGATCAGCTCTCTTCACTGCCATTGAAGGCTCCAACGTGTTTTCTTTTCAGGTGCTGCGTCATAACAGTGGTGCTTCCGCGCCATGTTCATTTGTTTTTACAAAAGTTGCATGTTACGACTTTTTTCACTGTACAAAGCGCAGGCTATTTTAATTATTGTGATCAATTTGCGCCGTCAATCCCGGCGCATGCACGCTTCATTTGCAGTCTGGACGCTGAGGGTAAACTCCTCACTAAAATCCTGCGGCTCTGACTGCCGCGCTGAGAGGGATTCCTGTGGGAGAGGGATAAATGGGTTGGGATGGGGGAGGCGCCCCACGGCAGGCAAAAGCCGCCAGTGACACCGTAAAAAGTCGCCAGATTTGTCGCTAGTCGCTTTTTTGAAAAATAGTCGCTGGAGGGGTCTAAAAAGTCGCTGACTCTGCGGCGCTGACTCGCTCCGCCATATTTTTTTTTCTTCCCCCGGATGACGGCGGCGGCGGATGAAGCAATAATCGCGCGACACAACTAATCGATGATTAAATTCGTGGCCAACGCTTTTAAAAGTAGATTTTTATCGATTTTATCGATTCGTTGTTGCAGCCCTAATATCAACCCAACAGAGAAGCTCCATCTGTTCCACCAGTGAGCCACGGGATAGAAATTGTCCAGCCGTAACCCTGTGGAAGGATGGAACCAGATTTTGGACCAGAACCGACTCTTTTCATTTCTAATGTAGACATTGCAGCTCTGAGTTTTGACTGTTACCAATAGTGAGTCAATATAGCCGTATAAATCATCCACAGTTTTCTTATTTAGTGGTGTTGGGTGTTAGAAAAAGGTTTGTATAATTATGGCAACAACTGATTTGTTATTAACATTACAGGAACTTTAATCATTTGATCACTTGCAAACTCCTTACAAATGGAGTGCCATTTTTTCTTCATGAATTTCTTATAGAAGCAATCTTATATTTTGGAATGCCGTTTATTGTTTTTGCATTGACCAAAATTTTTGTCATCAAAATATCCATATTTTTTTATGTTACAAAGGTTGTAAGGTCTTGACTCGGATTCCAATAACACTCTTGGCTTAAAATTTTGATTTTCAAAGTATTTCACTGAGTTCCCTATAAACGGTTAAGCAGAAGTGTTTCTATCAGCTTGCTTATAGCAGAGATTTTAGATGCAGCCTGATTGATTCTGATCCTCTTCCAGAACCAGTTCTCTACTGGGTCTAGTTACCAGCATGATGTCATAGGGAAAGTCTTTCTGTGGAGCAGAAAGTTCTGATCGGTTCTGATCTGCTGTTTCCCTTGCAGTGCAGTGAGGATCTTCATGGTTCTCCGTCTTTTCTGGTCTTTTTTTCCCACTGTTTCCTGCTGGTTCTGTAACCCTTGGAGACTCGTCTTTACTCT